TTTACTTTATTATATATATTATTTAATTAATATATAGACACACACACACACACACACACACACACACACACACACACACACACACACACACACCGATTGCTTCACCCACCACAGAAATGCAGCCATCTCTGGGATAACACATGACTGTTTTTTAATTACACACAACAGGGCAAAGTAACTAGTGTCGAGGAAGAAGATGTTGCATATCATTTGAATACTAGAATCATAAAGTTAACCCCAAGTTAAGCCTGAAAATGGACAATTTTATGTAATTCTGTATGTTTTACATTTCAGAATTCAACCCATGAATCATTGCTGTGAAAAGATGGGGAAACAGTCCCTCCACACCACCAAATACTATGTTTAATGTATGATTTGATATGAAGCAACTAGTGTGTGTGCTTCTAGCACAGGAGATCATGCCCTGTTAGGAAATTATGTAAATTAGAAGCAGCTGTTAAAGTAATATGCATAAGTCGCCTCCATTTGTATTTGTAGAATTGTTCTGCTGATTCCTTTGATTTGTTTTCTCATCTGAAACAGGAACTTATTGCCTTGGGAATATGTAATTCTGCAGGATCCTTCTTCCAAACCTTCTCGATCACATGCTCAATGTCTCGGAGTCTTGTTCAGGAGAGCACTGGAGGGAAAACTCAGGTGTGTCTATCCAATTGTTTAGGCCAAGCAACATTTACTTTTTGGGACTCCAGATTTTGGAGCCTGTTGCTTGATAAGATTTCCAGATCTTCTGGCCTCTAGTTGGTCCAGAGACAGTGAACAGCATTTCTCATGGTATTGTAGTCTAGCCGAGGCCAAAGTGGAAGCACAGAGGATGTATCAATATGAAACTAATGGAGCAGGAATGAGGGATCAGAAAATCACTGAACCTCCAGTATTTCAGAAAGTGCAATGCAGGTCAACCAGTAATGTTTGCACTCTGTCTTGTTGTCTGGGGCAGCTTTTATTCTTCAGAAATGTCATTTCTTGTATCTTTTTGTTCAGATTGCAGGTACGCTGTCCTCGATCATGGTTCTGTTAGTCATTGTGGCTATTGGTTACCTCTTTGAACCACTACCACAGGTATGGGAACTTTGCCTTTGGATACTGTGTGTATGAGCAGAAGTCAACTAGCTTTGCTTAACTGTCACAAAACCTGTATCTAAATGAATTAACAGCTTAGGGCCCAATCATGAAAAGTGCTGAGTGCCCTTAACACCCACTGAGGTCAATGGGACTGAGGAGGGCACTCGACGCCTTCCAGGATTGGGCCCTTGGTTGGTGGGCTTTTGGGTTTTTTTAAGTTAAATTAGAAAGCAGAGTATAGTGAAGGAGTCACAGCAATCATCTTGTGTTTAATACTAGCCACGTTAGACATTTTGTTCCTCCTGAGGATTGAAAATAAGATCGCTCTAAATACGTACACTGTGTATGGAACTGAGAATTCTTGAATGGGATGTTAAGGGAGAAGGAGGCTATTGAAATAGATCAGCGGGGAGGGAAGTGATAATTAGCACACACATTTTTACTGTATTTGCTTATTTTATTCTCTTAGATAAATATCTATGTTTCGGGTGGAATGTATGCAATCCCTAAAGCTTTAATAGGCACAGTATCTTAATGTGTAGCCTGAAAAGTTGGTTGTTTAAAGGGAATGTGCATTTAACAGGCTTGCAGGTTGGTTCCCATCAATGGTATAACGTGCATAAACGTGGCCATTTTAATGATGTCTTGGAAAGCTATTTCTGAGTGACATAGTTTTCAAGGGTAAAATAAAAATGTCATAAAATTTGTTCCTAGACTGTGCTAGCTGCGATCGTAATGGTGAATCTGAAAGGAATGTTTAAACAGTTTGGAGATATAACACATTTCTGGAGAACCAGTAAGATTGAACTGGTAAGTGAAAATGCCTATCAGTGTAAATTAATTCCTTTTTTTCCCTACTTTTTTAAGCAACAGTTCAACATTCCCCAAGAATCTACAAAAAAGTGGAAACTTTCCAGGCAATTATAAGTGTATTGTTGTAGCAGATGAAGTTACAGTACAAGGGTCCGGCGATGCTAGGAAGATGACCTGTTGCTGACAACAGTTGTGAACAGCGGATTGCTGCTCAGCTAGCGTTGAAAGTACTTGGCTGCAGGTGGGAGCAGTACTGTGACAGAAACATGCTAGAGATCTGGCTGAACATGCAAACGCCTTTGGATCCTACAGGTGTCCCTAAGTAACATGGAAAAAACAAATCCCCTTGCTCTCTTCTCCTTTACTGCCAAGGAATGGTTAGCTGACAGCGGGCCCAGGTCAAGAGTGACACGCAGGAGGCATCACTTACTCTTTGTGATTCCATGGTAACAGGTTAAGTTGTTACCTGGTTCACTGTTGGGACTTGCAGCAATGGCTGCTGGGATAGTGCCCCACTTGTCTATAGAGGGAGCTGAAAATGTGTGCAAGACCTTTCGAACCATAGAAATGCCCATAGACACTGGTTACCTGCTGGGGCTGCCAGACTGGGTAGCAACCACTATTGTATATACATAGTAACCCTGGGGTTGAGACTCCTGAAGTCACCTGGACAAGGCCTTCACCCATGGAACCACCATCTGACCTTCACTGTCACATGAGACCTGAGAAACCGCTGAGCCCTGGTCTTGCTGGCTCAAACATGCCACTGGGTCACTGTATGTAGAGGCACAGGCCCTACCATCCTCCAGACAGCAGGAGCTCCCTTTTTCAATAACAAGCTGCAAGCCCACTGTGCCTTGTTTAATCTCCCCAGTCCCTCTGCACTTTCCTGATTCCCTCCCACTCAGCACCATAATTCATCACCTCTTGAGGGCTTCACTGAGATTCCTGTACTGAGTTCTTGTGCCCATTCTGCTATGTGTGTGTGTTTAGGGTTGCCAACCCTCCAGGATTGTCCTGGAGGATTGTCCTGGAATTAAAGATTAATCTTTAATTAAAGATAATGTCATGTGATGAAACCTCCAGGAATTTGTCCAACCCAAGTTGGTAACGCTAGGTGTGTTGGATAATACTAAACATCAGCACTACTGGTATTTTGCTGCGTAATCAATGTATGGTGAGTCTTCTGCTCAATACGGTAATGATATACGATCGGGCTACTTGTAATCCCCCTTGCACTGTTTGTCTTTACAGGGCCAGCTTCATAGGAGGTTGAATCTCTGGCACATAGTAAAACATGTTCTACAGCGAAAATGAGTTAGTGCTCTTTTTACAACTCACATGTCAAATTATAAAACACTCCAACATGTCTGCCTCAGAGGGTATTGCCTTGCATTACATCAAGGCGAAATGTTACAATGTGACCTCCCCTTAAACTGTGGTGGTGTGTATATATGTGAGTCTGAGCCATGTTAACCAAAAAAAAACTGGATGCATTTTAATATTTAGCTTTTGTTTGATATTTAGGCCATCTGGATTGTTGCTTTTGTGGCCTCTGTTTTCCTGGGACTAGACTACGGCTTGCTTACTGCTGTGGCGTTTGCAATGATAACCGTTATTTACAGAACACAAAGGTCAGACTTTTTTTCCCTCTTTCTCAGAATCAGGGCTTTGTGGTGGATTTTTGTTTCCTTTTCTAAAGGGAATGAAATAAACAGAAGTCCCATTTTGTGAGCACAGTAGAATCTGCTTAATTGGGTCATCCAGAGGGTGTCCCAGTTCAGGGCCCAGTTCTGTTGCTTCGACCACAGAAGGTACAGAAAAGACAGCAGTTAAAGTCTACAAATACTGTTCTAAATGAAACCCCAGGAATATGCAGATTCTGTTTAATTTCTAATCTGTATTTGATCATTTTTTATTAAAGCCCTAGAGCTCAGAATTTCAGACTTATTTAATGCCTGGCTTTTGTCAAGTGCATTACTGTTAAATGGAATTTATGCTAAGACTGGTCCGATTAAGCAGAAGTCACTGTCGTGTTAGCATTTGATGGGAGATGTCCCAGTGGGGGCAATGTTGGGTCAATTCTGGTCCAATGTTAGGTCAATTCTGGACCCACATAATATATAGTTAATTCCCTGGGAGCTGAGTGTTCAGCATCTTACAGAATCAGGTCCTTCCCTCTGAGAAGCAGGATGTTTCTTTGAAACTGTGGCCCAAGTTCTCTGCTGTTGTGAGCTGGCATAGCTCCATTGTAGTCAATGAAGCTGTGCCAACTTACACCAGAAGAGAATTTGGCCCTGTAGCTTTTGCTGGCCAGTTGCAGCAGTTGACCCACCCAGCTGGTGTCCATCAGTTGGTGGTCATCCAGACAGGCTGGATATTTTCCAAAGGCCCTTTTTATTAAAAAAGACTTAGTTTGATTCATGGTTTAATCACCACATGGCACCTTTATTATGTTCTTGCTGTAAACTTCCTCAAAGCATGTTTTGATTAGTCTGTACCGACACTGCACTAAAGTACAGTAGCCATATCTGGTGTAGGTTCAAAGCTGTTTTATAATGTGTGTTCTTCTCTAATCTGTGAACCGTAATATTGAGACCTTATGCATCCATTTCTCTCCAGTCCACAGTACAGAATCCTGGGTCAAATTCCCAATACAGACATTTACTGTGACGTGGAAGAGTATGAAGAGGTAGGAATGCGTTTTCCTGTATTAAATTATTATTATTAAATTGCTGTTATAGAGCATAGTCAGATTCCTGGAATGGCTGAACATTCTTAACTCTGTAATTTTATGCATAGTGGTGAGAGCCTCCTGCTGTGAAACTAGCCGCTCTTACATTCTTCTATGCTGAGGTTACACTGTGGGGAAACAAAACTTACTTTGCTTTAATAATATGCACCATTTTGTTTCAGATTTTAGTGCTTTTATAATAAATGTGCATGTTCCCATGTGGATGGTGTGATTTGTATTGCAGGGTATTGCATGACAAGTTCTGGTGCAAAGACCACGTATATAATAGAGGTCTTTGTACAGCATTTGATCTACTAATTGATTGCTTAGTTTAAGATGCTAGGGTTTATACAAGTACCATTACTAATACCAGAGCTGTATGTGAACCCATTCAGGGTGAGCTCCACTAATCACTTTAGCTATATTAATGAAAACCTACAGAACCAAAGACCTAATTTAGTCTATTTTTAGTAGAACTGGGCAAGTGGGTCACAATGGAGAACTTCATTCTATGAACTCCAACTCTCAGTTTTCCAGTTATCCATGACCAGCCTTATTTTCACAAATATATTTATTATTTGATGAATGATTTCTGTGAGCATCACGCCACTCTCTGGCTTACTCTCAAGGCTGTTTTGTATCTGCTGTTTATGCTGTATGAAGTCACTGAAGTTGCCTGGTATTGCTTCTGCTCTTGGAGAATGTCTCAGGAGCTTTCAAGGTGGTTGCACAAACACTCCTGGAGCTAGTACTTGTGCAGTATTTATGTATTTGCACAAGTTCTCGCATCACTTTTTTGTTTCCTTTTCATAAACATTTTTTGGAACATCATTTTGTTGGCAATAGGGATATAAAATCACTGTTTTGTATTCAGACATTGGCCAGGTATTTTTGCAATCTTTGCCCAGCTCTCATCAGGTGCCTGTGTAAACAGTTGTAAATCTGCTTTCAAGGAGATTTTATTAACAATATCAAAGCAGTAACCAAATGGGGGGAGGGGAGGTTTTCCTTAAGAACATTTAAAAACGAAGTGCTTAAAACCATACGAATCGTAGATCAGGTTACTGTGTTTTCCATTTTTTGTCACTGAGGACACCATAAAGCAGGTCAAGAAAGGAAGAAATAAAAAATTATTGGAAAATCAGTAGGGAGGAAGGAGAAGAGAAGCATTTCTAGAATTGCATGATTTCCTGATATTAAATAGTACCTAGTGTTCATAGCAACGTCACATTTAATTCCATTTTAAATCATTTTCTTTCATTGTTAAAAATATAAATACAAATATTATGCAATATTGATCTCACTCAATATTTTATTGTATTACGATTATGGGAGAGCAGTAGCGTCGAGACAGTAAACATAGTGCTTCTGACTGGTGGCAGATTGCACTGGGAAGGTCCTTCTAATTTACTTTCCATACAGCAGCCCAGGTGGGCGTATATTTCCCTTTATTTGCAGCATGCTACCCATCATTCACTCTGTTCCATGGCTGTTCTAAAGACGACAATGCCATTGGTATGGGCATTCAGTGATGTCCACAAGTGCAGTGGGAAGTTGGCTTGTGTTGTGTATTCTGTAGTTCAGGCAATGGATATTTGTGATCATTCTTGTGACCACGTATGTGGCAGAAATATAAATGTGTGCTTTCCTTCCAGAATAAATAGCCCTTAATTTCATGTATTGTAACGTTTCTTTCCTTAGGTGAAAGAATATCCTGGAATAAAAATATTCCAGGCCAATGCCTCCCTCTATTTTGCCAATAGTGAATTGTATGCAAGTGCACTGAAGAAAAAGGTGAGTAAAACCAATTCCTTAGTATTCTCTCCCCTCTTGAAATAGTGAACTGGTCTCTGAAAAGCTTTAAGGTTAATCCTTTCGTACATCATCTGTCAGCTCCATTGGCAAAGTCTCTTCCCTCCTTATATGAACTGGGATTTCCTAGGGGGGTGAATATGAAATTTACTTGTATGCACTGCCCTTCACAGAATCAAACTACAAATTATCTACATATACACATTACTTCACCCACCACCAAAATGCCATCATATTTGGTGGGGAGGGGTTAGCACAAATAACATGTATATTTAGGGGACAAGACTGCATTGGCAGGGAATGACACACATACTAATCTCTTAAACATTTTTCTGTAGCTTCCATGATGAATCTTGTACAGTTGAGGTGGGTGGTGCTTGTTTTCACGAAGCAAATGACATTGACAATTTATATCCAAAAGCATTTCCCCCCTTTAAATCTCACACTCAGTGTTCTGTTGAAACTTGTCACTATCTGATTTAGAAAAGGATTGTAGTTCAAATTTCCACCTCATCATTGTATTAACATGCTGATTCCAAAGATTGCTTCATTCTTTGTACATTTCCCCTTTAAGGAAAGCAGTATAATGTAATCTTATGTTATAATATGTTAAGGTGATGAATTTGACCTTTGAATAAGTAACATAATAGTCCTAACAAGTTGAATCTCGTTTGATTATGCCTTTCCTTATGTGGTAGACTGGAGTTGATCCATGTGCTGTATTGGCAGCAAAGAAAAAAGCCCAGAAAAGGCATGCCAAGGAACTAAAGCAGACAAATGAACACAGGAAGAAAGCAGTCTTGAAGCTTGTGAGTGCCAGAGTAAATACTTGTCTTATTTTTTTTCCATCTAGCAAATTAGCTTATTGTATTGGCTCTTTATGCATCATTCATACAAGAATGTTACTTGAAACAGGAAGGCTTAGAAATGTGTGTTGTGCAGCACAGACTGTTTTTGTTAGAAAACTACATCAAAAAAGGGAATGTCACTCAGAAGATTTGTTTTAGAGAATTCTCTAAAACGGGCTTAGTGAGATCTAGGAACAGAGGAACTGCCATGCTGGATCAGACCTAAGATCTATCTAGTCCTGTTTGACAATGGCCAGAGGCTTTAGAGAAAGGTATAGAAATTTCACAGTAGGCATATTTGGGGTTATCTGAGCTAATGTGGGCTAATCTGAAATTAACTCAAAGTAATAACCTGTTAAATATAAATATTTCCATTTCTCACACAAGAACGACTTGTTGATTTGGTTAACAGAAAAAGGGGGATCTGTGGAAAAGCAGAGTGTGATGACAAGAACTGTCTGAAACTTGTGCACTTTTATGTGCCTATTCTCTGTGGGAGCTGTTAGATGCTCAGTGCTTTTGAAAATCAGGCAGGTGCCTAACTGTGGGATCAAGAGCCTAGTTGTAGGCTCTTATATTTTAAGATTTTGGCCCTAGAGATTTTTATTCCTGAATGTGTGTGTGACAGCAGAATGGGTGCTCATGGCACTGCTGGCCCAGTGTGGTTATTTCCATTGCCAGAGAGGAGTAAATGCTGATGTAAGTTTTTGAATGAAAACTGTAACTCACTGCAAGGTCACGTCTTAGATCTACTTGAACTTGCTATGTACAATTGGCATATATAGAGAAGGTGGGGAAGGGCTAGGTCTAAGTTCAGGTATAAATCCTGTGAACGTAAAAATGTGGGAGGGTGGTTTGAAGCCATAGACCTTATCAGAGGCTGAAGGAAGCTTGTGGAAAAATCGTTATTGCAAATGTATCTACTTGTCATTAAGCTCTTGGATTTTATCTTCTTTTATAGACAAATGACATGGAAACAAGCGTAAAACACGAGGTAATTAATGATGAGCTACCCCTAAATGGAAAATCTGCAGATGCAAATGCACAAGGCACATCTCCTGATGAACTTGAACACTTTATGGAGCCAATGACAAATGTTCACTGTATAATTTTGGACTTGACACCAGTGAACTTTGTGGATTCAGTTGGCGCAAAAATGTTAAAATCAGTAAGTGGTATCTTTCATATTCCCTCCACCAAAATACATGTCATGTCTTTTGTAGGGCACTAAGAGGGCCAATCCAGGTGATCTTGCATCAAACTCTAATTACTACAGGTTTTAACTTTCACCTTTGATGCTAAGTTCTTGTTGCTATACTGGGGAACATGTGATCATCTTGTGCAACACTCAAGTCAAGTTAAGCTACACAGTGTGTGTGTGTAAAAGCTATAGGGATGGAAGAGGCAGAAGATAATGCTGTGCAAGAGCCATTTTAAAAGAGAAATAACCGTTAAGCAACTGAATGGCTTTTTAAAAAATGCATTTTGTATTTTGTCTTATACCAATGAAGTTGTGGTATGTACAAAGGTATTTCTATAGATTAAACCTCCATTTAAACTTCTGCAGGTTATAAAAGAATATGAAGAAGTTGGTGTTTTTGTGTGTATAGCCAGCTGCAGTGGTAAGTTGTAGAGTTTTGGCGGGATTCAGGTGGGGTTGGCATCCATCCTTCCATCGATTTTTTGTATTGCCAGCCATCACTGTAGGGTCTGAGCATCTTCCACATTTAAAAAAATATAATTGGTTTGAGAGGAGAATCAGGCCCTAGTCCACCAGGCCATGACTGGTGCCAGAGTAAAACCCTGATTTTAGCAAGTTCTTTAAAGGCTTGACCCTGCTCCCACTGACTTAAATAACCCTAAACATGTGACTTCAATGGGACACCTCGTATATGCTTCAAGTTAGGAGCATGCTTAAGTACCTTGCTGAATCGGGCCTAACTCACTCTTATAGTCAGTGGGGTCACCATTGTGTGAGGAGAATGAGGTGCAATAATGTTTGATTTCTGACATTTGGAAGTTTATCATTGTCCCCTGAGACTGATGATCAGTATATTATGGCTGAATGAAGATGTGCTAGTATACACACAAATCCATCTTTAATTGGAAATCTACTCAGCTGTACATTTAAATCTTGTGTATTTTACCTATAGCATTATTTGGCTTGCATCTTTTGTCTCAAATCTGTTTTGAACAGAAAAACTTGAGGCTGGGAAAGCTACACGCTATCTCCCTCCCCCTTAGTTAATCTAAAGACAAGGCATGAGATACATGTATGCCATGGTTATAGTTTAATATATTTGCTTTACAGGCCCTGTTATGGATGATCTGACTCGACTTAACTTTTTTGAAAAATCCACCACCAGAGATTTGCTGTTTCACAGTGTTCACGATGCTGTTCTCTCCTGCCAGCTGAAGGTTGGGTCTGTTCCACAAACTGCCTCAGACCTCTTTGTTAGTACTTCAGAATCACACATGGAGAACTGAAATCTGCATAATTCCATGAGAAAGAGAGACTCTACCAACACTTAATTTGCACAGTATAAACCGAGCGTAAGACTATCCACCTCTACGGGTATACTGTATAGAGGTGGGGTAGTTTGTTTGCTACAGGAATAATGAACAAACAGTTTGCTGCCTTAATACTTTTGAACTGTGCTCTTCCTTACCTGAATCCAGGTGTAAGTTAAACCCAACATGCAAACATTTTATTTGTATGTTGTTGAAAATAATGTATTTTGCTGCGGACAGGATATTAGAACATTCTGATGAGGGTGGGTTACGTTTTTAGAAACATGGCATTGGAGGATATTGCACTAAGCTGCATATTAGTTCACTTTGGATAAAATATTGAAACATCTGGAGTGCAGGTAATGGACAAATTGATATGTCACACACTGTTTCCAGCAGAGTGGGATCTTGCAGAAAATACCTTTTCTACAGTTACCAATACAATGCATTGTACTATTGTCTTAAAGGGTTTTCTTAATCAGATTCAAAAACTGCTGCCAATGTGTATATAGCAGGAGTCGGCAACCTGAGACACGCGTGCCAAAGGCAACACGCTGCTGCCAGCTGGGGTCCCAGCCGCCGGCCCCGCTAAGCCCACTGCCGGCCTGGATGGACGGAACCCGGCCAGCAGCAGGCTGAGCGGGGCCGGTGGCTGGGACCCTGGCTGGTAGGGGCCAGCGGACGGAACCCCAGACCGGCAGTGGGATGAACCGCTCAGCCTGGCAGGGTCCTGGATGGATGGAACCCGGCCGGCAGCAGGCTGAGCGGGGCCGGTGGCTCCCTGGCTGGTAGGGGCCAGCGGACGGAACCCCAGACCGGCAGCGGGATGAACTGCTCAGCCTGGCAGGGTCCTGGATGGATGGAACCCGGCCGGCAGCGGGCTGAGCGGAGCTGGTAGTTGGGACCCTGGCTGGCAGGGGCTGGCGGACGGAACCCCAGCGCCTCAGCCTGCTGCCAGTCTGGGGTTCCGTCTGCTGCCCGGTCTGGCACGTGAAACCTTTTACTGGCACGTGAAACCTTAAATTAATGAAGACTTGGCACACCGCTTCTCAAAGGTTGCCGACCCCTGGTATATAGAGTAGATTCTTGTTCAAAACTATGCCTATCTACTAGCTGGATTTGTGACGTTTCATGCTGGTGTCATTAACTGCTGTTTTCTTAAGCTGGATGGTACAGACCATGTTCCTATTTTTATAGTTAACCTGTCTTAACAGTGACCACCTCGTTCTCAAAATATTCTCCCCATTTTGGCTGAATTTCAAATCAAACATAATTAGTCTATTACTATTCCTACTAAAGAATTCCAGTGCTACAGTTGAGTCACACCTACTAGAAAATAGCAAATAATTACCAAGTAGTAAATGATTGAGGATAATCTGGTTAAATGGGGTGTGACCAGACTATCTGAAACAGATGAACCTTCTGCAGTGCCTTTTAAACTGCTACAGGCAGGTAGTCAAGGCCCAAAACGTAATTTGATGTGGAAGAAGAGACGTATTGTCATCTACACCATCCTGCTCCCAGTGTAGGCTTGTCTCTCATCCTGCTTTTCAAATGCTTTGTAACATGAAGTTTTGCAAAACCTAATATATATACTTAAATAGATGAAAACTTGTTCAAATATAAATATTCCCGGACACCAAGGGCAACCCTCCTAAGGCACTGATGTTACTTAAAGTGAAACTCCCTACTCTCTTTTCACCCTAATTTTAATTGCTGTAGCTGAAAGAACCTATCTTGACCCAGCTATAGTATTTTTAGAGCTGGACTCAAACATTGTTGAAACTCTTGCACAAAGTTCCTGTTTTAAGGATAGCCAAGCTTTCAATTGTTCCTTAGCCATAAAATGACCCTTCACATAGTTCCATCATAACACAGGTTCTGTGCTCTAGGGTAATACAAATGACTTCCCCCTCTTTGCTGGAAGTACAATTAGGTCTGTATTTAGTTGGCTTTATACATGAGCTATGCTCCTCAGTGCGGAGGAGGAGGTAAGTGCCTTGCCTCTGATCCAGCTGGCAACACAGATGGGCAAAATTTGGCATCAGCAATGAAACCATGACTGGAAATTACACTTAATCCTTTTATCTCGGGAGCATTTTTATTCTGGTGCCAGGGTAAATTTTGTAATTTTAATCTAGCTAACAGTCCTTTTGTATCAACATGCAGTATATTTTTTTAGCCGTACAGTTTCTTCAGTTAATGTCAAAATTGTCTGTCTTCAACATCCCAAATAAAGAGGGGTTCAATGACTTGATTTTCTTAATCCTGCAGCACTGTGTTAGGAGATAAAGATTCTGTGTGTATCATCTACTGGCCATGGCTTTCAAAAGTGACTAGTGACTTTCTCTAACAGGGGTCCAGCTATCAATGGGCAGGAGCCCAAGCACTTTCTGAAGGGCAATTGCCTTTAACAGGTATCAGGTTAGGTGTTCAAATCTCTAATCATGTTGGAAAATCTGTACCAGAAATTTAAATAAAAATAAAGGGGAGAAGCGCCAAAGGGGTGGGCTGCCCTATAAAGAGTCCTTGTGAAAGGGTAAAAGGAGCCTCCTTGTTGACTCTACTAGCAAACCAAGAATGTTTTTAAAGAATCCTCTTCCAAGGGCCTGAGCACTTCATTTACATCCTTCTTGCATAAGTAACACTTACTTCAACTAGGCTTTGATAGTAGGGAAAGATCAGTTGTAGCTTTTCCCTGCATGGCAGTGTTTTAAGCAAAGCCTATAGCTTTCCTGAAGAGGGAAACATCCTGTGTGGAATAGTAGTGGAGAGCAGTTTGCTGTAGTTGGTGCTGGAGAGCAGCTATGTGAGGATATGCCCTCCCTCACAGGAGTACTGATTCCCTCTGCCTGGAGCCCTGACTCCTTCCCACTCCATATCCCCAACCCACACTTCTATTCAACTTGCCCTTTGAGTGCTGATTCAAGCAAGAAGGGACAAGGTATATGCAAGCCACAGCTTCACTTTTCTTCTAGTGCCAGAAAGTTCCTGAGCAGCCCTGCTTAAAGTCTCCATTTAGCCATACACCTGACATAGCCCAGCTCTGAGGCAGTGTCCTGACACCCCTCTATGGGTAGGAGTTAGGGATAATGACTGCTTTAGTTTCCCCAAGCCATGCATTCCTTACAGTGAAGCCGCCTCTGCTAACACAGCAAAATCAAGTGGATTCCACGTTAAGGCTGTATTTGAGTCTACTCTTCAGTATTAGAGCCGGTTTTCTGCTTTTAAGCTTCTGAAGTGGTGTACTAGCCATGATTTTTATTCCAGGCTTATGCCTCCTGCTGCCCCTGAGATTAAATTGATAAACTATGACAGACTTTAGCCTAAAGCTGGAACTGATCATCAAAGTGGACCATGGGCTTTAGAGTTTTGCTACTTTGCTCTTATGCTTCTTTAGTGGACTAGCAGTGGTCATTGGTTCTCAGGCTGCATCAAATCTTATTCCCTGCCAGCCCCTACAAAGCATAAATCAAGCAATTGCTGTTTGATGCTGTACTCAGCTTGGCAGGAGATCATTGTTCCCTTCCACCAGCTTTTACACAGCAAGAGGGGAGAGATTAACAGAAAGTCCAGGGGAGAAGGGTTACTTTAAAAAAAACAACCCTGCATTTTCTCTTTTACCCACACTTGCTTCTGCTTCCTGGTTGGGGGGGGCAGCTGCAGGGAGGAGGCAAGAGGCATTGTTATTGAAACCAGCACCATGTGAAAGCATTGGGATACCACTACTTCTGCTCTACAGCAAGAATAATGAGGGAGGACTACAGTGTAGAGGGTAAGACTACTGCGGGACAGCAAGAAATATGGGCAGAAGAGGCTGTGCTGTTTTTTTTTATAACAGCCTTTAGTCTAAAACTGGCAGGCGCTAACTTCCCAGAAAAAGAGAACATCTTGTGTCAGTTTCATGGGAAAGAATGGGCCTGGAAGACAAGGTATGAGTTACCTGATCACTGTACAACACTTTAGTGTTTTAAAAATACCGAGACCATGGTCTGCTAACTCCTCTGGCAAGAGCACCCTTTAAAAATATTTCACATTTCAAATGCTTTAAGTACAGTTTTTCCTTTAACATTCTCTTCTTTGCTTCAGCTGCTATGAAAGATAACTCACGTTTGGGGGGGAAGAGGAAAAGGTTAGTTGCAGCAAGCTGGAGCTATTTTTATTGCTGCTGGGACTCTGATGCTGATGTCTCTTAGACACAAAGGCAAAAAGCAGCAGTTAGAAAATGCAGCTTCTGGGTCTGAGGTTGACTCATTTGTAACCTCAGTGTTTGAGCAACACAAGCACAGCACACTCTTCTTAACCCTAACACCTGCCAAACTTGTACCACTGTCAGGCTACTTATTAGGCTGCTTTTAGCTGTCTCCTTGATCACATGCTCACAAGCAGTGTTCAAACATGTGGTTCTAACTTATTTGATCATGCCACCCTTCTTTATGGCTGTAGTGGTTTAGGCCCTGCACCCTGACAGAAATACATATACTGATTAAAAAAATGCCACAAAATATTAAAACCAGTAAGGCAGTGCTTCAAACAGAACCATTTCATCATATCCTGCTCTGGCGGCCAAGTTCTGAAGGCAATGCTGCTGGCAGCAGCAGCAGAGAAGTAAGGGTGGCAGTAACATACCACGCCACCCTTACTTTTCTGCTGCTGCTGGCTGGACGTCCAGCTGCTCTCTGCTCTGCCTTCTCACACTCCCTCAGGATACATTTCATGTCTCTCATTTTGAGAACCTCTGTTTCAAACTACAGTCTTACTAGTTCAGCCAGGAGCTTATTTGTCAGAAGGTAAAAGGAGAGGGACAGGAAAGAAGAAATAAGGTGGGGAAGAAGCAGCGCACACAAGGTGTGTGACAGCTTTAGGAGGTGGCGATGGCATTGGGCCCCTCACTTTGGGCAGGACATCTCAGGATGAGTCCCAGCAGTGTAACAGTAGATCCTTCAGAACATGCTGAAGCTCTCACTCCTGCCCATCCACCTGTATCCCTGACAGTTGTTGTTGTTAGCTTTAAGAATGCCAAAAGTGTGATGGGCAGAGTAACCCAGCTCTTCATTTTGGCCACTGACTTTCAGTCCCCCATTCCTTTTGTTTGCCAGGCATGATCTGTGTCCTTGAGTCCTGGCAGGCGCATTTTTGTTTGGACTAATTCTGTCTGTCTCCCTTTAGTACCTTTCCCATCAACATTTATGGTTATAAGCTGACATTTTATGAACCTTTACCCACCTTTGAACAACTGAGTTTATAGTTTGCCTGCTATAGCCCAACAGCAGCATTAGGGGTTAGTAGTAAGCACAGGCTGGGTACGTGACATGCTTCCACTATCCTTGAAGCAGCCTCTTCTACTGTACCGCTCCAAGCAGCCAGATTTTAGACTTTCCCTTTAAAAATACAGCTGCTGGGGAGGGAGAGCTTTCTGAGCACTCTTTAGGCCTCAAAACTAGCTCCTTGGTATACTTAACTAGCCTACTCCTCACCTAAAAGCTGGGACATTGCTCTGCTTTGTGGTGCTGACACCAGCCACTGCCAGGAACTGGAAGACAGGTGATGGGAAACAACAAA